AGTTAGCCGCAGTTGGGTCACCTTTCCAGTGGCATTCTTATTCCTCAAAGAAATACGTGGTCGCTGGGAATTTTGCACTATCTCCTTAAACGTCTGCCATTGCTGGTCTACTGTCAAATCCTTCAGTCTAATTTCCCAGTTTATTTTGGCTAAATCCTCTCTCATACCAGCAAAATTGGCTCTACTTAAATTTAAAACCTGTGCTTCAGACTTAACTACTTCTCCCTCTAACTTAATGCTAAATTCCATCATATTATGATCACTTTGCCCTAGAGGAGCCTTCATTTCCAGTTTGCTGATCAGCCCTGCTTCATTGCACAAAACAAGGTCTAATATGGCCTGTTCCCTGGTTGGCTCCTCAGCATACTGATCTAGATAATTATCCCTAATACATTCGATAATCTCTTCCTCTGTTAGATTTTTCCTAATTTGGTTGTCCCAATCTATGTGCAGATTAAAATCACCCACAATTAATGTTTTTCCTTTACTATATGCTCTGCTAATTTCCTGATTTATACCTTGAGAGATACTGTGACTGCTGTTCGGGGGTTTATAAACTACTCCCACTAGAGCTTTCTGCCCCTTGTTGTTACGTACCTCTACCCATACTGACTCTACTTCCTGCTTTTCTGATTTAAAATCTTCCTCTCTACTGTTTTTATCCATCCTTTATTAGCAGGGCCACCCCACCTCCTCGTTTACCACATCGCCTATCTTTCCGATACATCACGTACCATGGAATATTTAGCTCCCACCCTTGGTCTCCCTGTAACCATGTCTCAGTGATGGCTACCAGATCATACTTGTTTGTTTCTATTTGTGCATTTAACTCATCAATCTTGTTTCGAATGCTTCGCACATTCAGATACAGCACCTTTAATTCTGACTTTGGGCTATTAGTCCTATTCACCAGTACCCTATCCCTGGGCTTCCTTTCCCCACTTGACACACTTTGCTCATCTCCCTGGTTTATCTGCTCTCCCACTTTCATTGGTCCTAATTTTAATTGTGACGGATTACATGTGATTGGATTTACCCCACCCCCCAAGTAGTTTAAAGCTCCGTTTACCTCCCTATTTATTTGTGTTGCCAGGACATTTGTCCCAGCCCTGTTTAGGTGGAGTCCATTCCTTTGGAATAGCTCCAGTCTCCCCCAATACTGGTGCCAGTGGCCTATAAAGTGAAACCCCTGCCCTCCGCAGGGGTTTCACTTTATAGGCCACTTTATAGACCAACAATGGATCACAACATGGATTTGGGCCACAGTATAATTTTCATTCACTGAACGTATCCATGCAACGATAAACACATCTCAAAGATGCATCCCATGGACTTATGATTTGGTCAAAATGAGTTTCTTTTGACATTGTGCGAACTATTGTGAGACCACATTTGCAATAATTACATGAGCAGCATACATAAGGTCAAGGTTTTTTGACAAGATTTGTTCTGCAACCAGTATTGAATGCTCTGTTATAGTACGTTGAGAAGGATATAATATATAATAATCCTTGCATTTTGATATAGCGCTTTTCATGTCTTCTCAAAGTGCTTCACAGAATATGCTGGAAAGTAAATTGACCGTATATTTGTGGGCGAATAATAATAATCCTTGCATTTGATCTAGCGCCTTATCATGTCATTGGGCGCTTCAAAGGATATACAATAATGTGGATTAACTGTGTATTTTGTGGGAGAAACATGACAGCCAGTTGCGCACAGCAATGTTCCACAAACAGCCATGGAGTGAGTGACCAATTTTATTTGGGGGATTGTCGGCCAGGACACTGGGAGAGAGAATTGCGAGGATTCTGCACAAAATTATAGGATTTTACAGCACAGAAGATCATTCAGCCATTGATGATGCCCATAGAGGTGTTATGAAAGACCTGCCCAGTGATTCCCACTCCCCTGCCCATTTAAGTTGCTTTCAGTTTTAAAAGGTTCAATTCTCATTTAATAATAATCCTTACATCGTGGAGTCCTGTAGCTCAGTGGTTAGAGCACTCGCTTTGCAAGTGAGAGACATGAGTTCAATTCCAGGCAGAGGGCGAAACCTTGGGCAAGTTTCCTTACTCCACACAGAGCCTAATAATAATCCCTCCAAAACCAAAAACAATAATAAATTGGTCATTTTCAATCCACGACTGTTTGTGGGACATTGCTGTGCGCAATTGGCTGCCGCGTTCGCCCACAAATAGTCAATTCACTTTACAGTGTGTTCTGTGAAGCGCTTTGGGACGTCCTCCCGACGTGAAAAGCACTATATCAAATGCAAGGATTATTATTATATTTGATATATATATTTGATATATATAGTGATAAACGTCTTTGAGATGTCTCAAAGTGCTTATGCTAAAATAAGCGCTAAAGTAAAATAAAAGTTAAAAAATTATTCTGAGTTCTGCTTCAACTACTATACCTAGTAACTCTTGAGACTGAAATTCTGAATTAATTCCCAGTTGGGTAGGAACCTACATTGCAAACCCCGTCCACAAACCTGCACTAAACTCCACTTAGGTGGGCTATAGTTACCTGGTGTGAGAAATGGGGGGGGAGGTGGGGGGGAGAATCACATTGATGTTCTGATTGAGGTTTTTGAAATAATAAAGGGATTCGATAGGGTAGATGCAGATAAACTATTTCCTCTGGTGGGGGAATCCAGAACAAGGAGGAATAGTCTTAAAATTAGAGCTAGGCCATTTAGGAGTGAAATTATGAGGCAGTTTTTCACCCAATGATTAGTGGAAATCTGGAACTCTCTCCCCCCAAAAGGCTGTGGATAATGGATCCATTCACATTTTCAAGACTTGAGGCAGATAGATATTTGTTAGGTCAGGATATTAAGGGATTTGAGGGCGGATAACTGGACTTGAGGTACAGATCAGCCCTGATCTTATAGAATGGTGGATCAGGCTCGATGAGCTGAATAGCCTACTCCTGTTTCTATCTTTCAGAGTTCGGGGTGAAAGCATATTTTCTGTGGCAAAACGAAAAGAGCTCGTCTCTGCATCCGATCACACATCTAAACTAGGGTTGCTTGTTACTGCCAAAAATCAAACTCTGTTTCATTCTCTAGAACTCTTCGCTTTGGTGGACAAAATTAACACAGCAGAAACCATTTAACTGAAAACAAAACACAAAATATGAAGATGCTGGAAATCTGCAACAAAAATAGAAGTTGCTGGGAACACTCAGCAGCATCTTTGGAGAAAGTGAATCAACGTTTCGGGTCCACAACCTTTCATCAGACGAAGGGTCATGGACCCGAAACGTAGACTCACTTTCCTTTCTACATAGATGCTGCCTGACGAGCTGAGTGTTCGCAGCGACGTCTGTTTTTGTGTCTGAAAACACCCTTTTTTGGAATAATCCAATCCATATGTTCTCACTGCTGGGGGGATTTTCCACCTTGGTCTAGATTAACTGTATTTATGCAGCATTTTAGAGTGCACAGAACTTGCCAACTTGTTGAATTCAGTCCCAACTCTGAAGCCTTTTTCTGTAGTTCTTAAAAGAACAGCTTGCATTAATATAGCGCCCTTCAAACAGGATACCTTCAAGAATACAAAGTTTCCGTAAAAGTAACTTACAGAAAACAGTCTTCAGTTTTTTTTAGTGGGTCGGGGGTCTGATACATGTGGAAACCCATCACGATGCTTAAGAGCATTGAAACCAGACAGAGTTCCATGCATCCCACACATGGAAATTCCTGTGTATTGGAATGGAATGCGCACTCTCTCTCTGGATGGACACATCCTGCTTACCTAATACTGGAGAACATTAGGCACAGGCTTGCAATAGCCAAGACTTGGGACCCCAGAGTGTATGTTGGTGTACTGAAAATTAAGATTTATTTAAGAGAATTGGCAAAAGAACCGAGGGGGAGATGAGAAGAAATGTTTTTCTGCAGCAAGTTGTTACGGTCTGGAATGTACTGCCTGAAAGGATGGTGGAAGCAGATTCAGCAATAACTTTCGAAAGGGAATTGGATATATACTTCAAAAAAATTGAAAGGCTATGGGGGAGTAGGACTAACTGAATTGTTCTTTCAAAGAGCCGACACAGTCTCGATGGGCCGAATGGCCTCCTTCTGTAATGTAGGATTCTATGATGCCTGAAAGGGCGGTCGAGGCCGATTCGATAACTACTTTTAAAAACGCAGTGGACGGGTATTTGAGGAGGACGGGTTCGCAGGGTTATGGGAAAAGGGCTGGGGAGTGGGATTGACATTAATTGCTCTATTCAAACAGCCGGCACAAACTCGATGGGCCGAATGGCCTCTTTTTGTGCTGTACGATTCTATGATTTTATGAAAGCATATTTGCTGAGGCAAAATAAAAAGAGCTTGTTTCTGTATCCGATCACACATCTAAACTAAGGTTGCTTGTTACTGCCAAAAGTCAAAATCTGTTTCATTCTCTATAACTGGCAACTCTTCGGTTTGGTGGTCAAAATTAACACAGTGAGAAACCATTTATCTGAAAACACCCTTGTTTGGATAATCCAATCCATATGTTCTCACTCTGGAGGCTTTTGATCCAAGAGTTGTTTACCTGTTGCTATACTGAAGTCATGCATTTTTGAGCATCCAGAATTTGGCAAATTCTTAAATACCGCGATATTTAAGAATTTGCCAAATTCTGGATGCTTCAAAATGCTACAAGAATAGAGTAAATATAGAACAAGGGGGAATTTATCCCCATGCATTACTTCAGTATAGCAACAGGTAAACAACTCTTGGATCAAAAGCCATTTTTGTCTATGAAAGCTGGAAAATGCTTCAGTACGATCTTAACAGTAAGATACAAGATTAACTGAATGTTATCGTGGACTTGAGATAATAGCTTGAACAAATGTCACTGTTATTGAATTGTTAATTGATGGAAGCTTGCCATCCACAAGGAAGAAAGTGTATGGTTTTCAGAAACAATATCAATTTTTTTTGGAACGAAAATCAACAAGACAAATCAGAAGAAAGAACCAGAACAGAGACTTACAGAAGACTGTTCTGTTGAAGATGAGTTTTCTAAGTTGGGAAGGATTGAAACGATTGTACTCCTGTTGCCTTTGTCTACCTTCAGTAGCTCAATACTGAGGCCATCTCCCACTATATACCAGGCTTTCACTGCAAGCTGATGGGAGAAAAAGATGAAAAGTCAGGTCGACAAATAGAAGAGGACTCAAACAATGAATTTACTTTGCAAAGTGGACACCACCTACCTCAATTGGGTTGCTGTTCAAGACAACAAAGAGGATACTGCCATCTTCCGTGGCACTCAAAATGCCAAAGTCTAGAAGCCGTTCGTCTAAACTTGGGGGAAGTACAAAGTACTGCAAAAGTAACACAACACATGGATTCTGTTAGTTGTGCAATACAATGAATGCAGCAAAATATGAGGTTTCCGTGGGTTTCCATTTATTCCATTATCACAAGGTTAGTCACGGAAAAACAAACTCAAGACAAAAGTATTTATAAAACCTACTCTACCGACTTTGACAATCTAACAAGAGATCTTTCTTTATCCCTTACATTGCTGGCAGGATCAGGAATTTTTTTTTTTTTTGGGTCAGCCGTGTGTCTGACGCATGCGGAAACCCATCACCGTGCTTAAGAGCATCCAACTCAAGCTGAGAATCCCATGCATCTCACCTACACATGGAAATTCCAGAGATAGATTTTTGGAACAGAACGCACACTCTCTCCCTGGAGGGACGCAACCTGCTTACTTAATTCTGGAAAGTATTAGGCTTAGGTAATATCAAAATAAAAGCAACACGATGCTTTGGACACGGGTGCTGTAAATTGCTGAATGCACGAGTCAGATGCAAGATTATATAGCTTAGAAAAGAAGCTGTATATATTAATTTCAGTCTATCCTCTCCCCAGTGGAGTTCTTTGAAGCAAAAGTAAAATAGTTCTATTCGCTGGGGATCAGCGGACAAAATTACATCAGGTTTTAAATTTAAATCCTAGAAACTCCAACGCTGGAGGCAACCAGTCAGCCTTTGTGCCGTGCGTGTTAAGTGCTTCGCTGGAGTTATTTATCTGCACCAATCCCAGATAACTGCCCAGTCAAAAGTCAGTGACCAAAATATATTTACTACATTATAGCATATCAAATAGACTCCAGTTTTGCTCAAGGTTTGATCTCCTTCGCTTTGAAATAAAATTAACTTGTAGGTTCTAATTCTAATCATTCTAATTATTATCATTCTAATAATTTGTCTTATTACCAATGCATTATCATTGTGTATTGTTTACAAAGCACATTGCTTCCCATTAGAACTGTGTAGAGCTCATTGGAAAGTAAAGAACTAGGCATTGAAAGTTCCCGCACGTTTATGGAGTCCTGCACTTACATCTAAAAACCCTGTGTAGGCTCGGACAGGCAGATGGAATTTGGATGCATTGGTGATGAGTAGAATATTGCTGTCTATATGTATAGAAGAAGTGGTAGGCGTGAAGAGGAGAGAGAATATGTAGAGTGCTTTGTGGGGAGGAACAGAAACAGGTTCGCTGAAGTTTTTGATCTGTGGAAGAGAAAGAGAGTCACAGATTACTGAACAGTCCCACCCCCAAAAAAGGTTAGATCAATTAAATCAAGCGATTGCTCAGCATCGAGGTTAACTGGATGAACAATGTAACAAATGCAAACAAATAGCCGAGACCGTGATTCTCGCTCACCTTGAACATCATTTCTGCATCTTGTGGTAAAGATACATTGTGAATGATGATCGGAAACTTGAATGTGTTTGTAAGATAGATCGGTCTTTCCACTGAATCTGCAGGACTATCCCGGATGTGAAACAGTGTTGCTGTATGATCGTATCCCAGGTACCTGCAAATCATATAAAAAGGCTTTAAAGAATTTGTACAACTGCTCAGTTTCTACCTCATAATCCGAATGAATGCACTGCGTGTGAGGGGTACTGACGGGTCAACTTCCCGCTGTTAAAAAAAAATGGACAGCTTCCGGGTCATTGCTGTGATCGTCAGCACTCGTGTACACCATTCTTTTACGTGGGCTGTTGGCTTGTCAGCAGAGTGTGCAGGATACCAGCCCTGTAAGTGCTGCACTCGTGTTCAGCACACAGCAAGTGATGTCAATGTTTCTTCCCTGGGGATAGGAAGCGACATCAGCATCGACCTGATAACCCAGAAGTTGGACTCCTTTTTTAATCTGCCTTGTTTATAACACAGTCGTTGAGACAATCGACCCAGTCAGTTGGGCTGTAATGAGGTTTCCCTGAACTTACAGACGTTCTGCTTTAAAAAGGAAACTTTAATTTAAGAGTGGGTAAAAGACGCAAGGGCAATCAATTTTCTTTTAAGCAATCAGTGGCTTCTTACCAGCAGAAGTCTAAAGAATGTTATTTTTACTGCAAGTTAGAATTTTGTGCTGCGTTTGACGTTTGCAGGCAGGCCGGCCTGACAAATAAGACTTCAGCGGCACGTTTCTTTCATCGCTAGGGCTAAGTGCAGAAATTTGTGCAGAGAAAATCTCTCGGTTGTCGACCTTGCAGCCACTTTCTTCCACGAGCTTCCGAACCAGAAGGTTCACAGTAACGCAATGCTGCTAGCTAGTCACGCTTTTTTTTTTAAAAAAAAACTAAATTGAAAACAGAATCTTTCAGATTTTATTTACAAAGAAAACTTTATATCCCTTTACAGCAGCTGAAGTTCTAATGTAGTCCTTGTGATAAGCCATGGGCATTAAACTGAAAACACGCTGTTTTACACTGCGTGGCTTTAGTTCCACATGACCTACTTGGGGGAGTAACAGGATAAAGACATTACATAAGTAGTCTGGTATTGATGTGCCACCACCACTGCACTACCCCAGCGCTGGTTGTTAAGTCTTCATCGTTTAGAATCATAGAAACCTACAGCACAGAAAGGAGGGGTAAGGAAATGTATAATGGCTCCCAATTGCTATCCACCGTTGCTGAAAATTGTGTACACACTTTGTTTTATGGGGGTCTCAAGCACAGAAATTATCTCCTTTGGGAGGTGGGAGTCAGAAGGTTGATTCGGGTAGACGAGTCAATGCAAGCCATTCTCATACTGAGTATATCAGAATTGTGCGTCAGCACTCTCTGAGTCAGAAGGCTGTGGCTTGAAGCACAATGTTGGAAGTTGGAAATCAAACGGGTTAGGCTGACACTCCAGTGCATTGTTTGGGGTGTGTTGCACTGCTGAAGTTACCATTCTGTCAGCCTGTTTCAGTGGCACTATTCAAACAAGAGTTTTTTTCCAGTGTCTTGCCCAACAATCCCCCAAATAAAACTGGTCAATCGCTTCATGGCTATTTGTGGGTCATTGCTGTCCACACATTCACTGCCGCATTCACCTACAAAATACAGTCACTACCTTTTCTTAAATATGCAGTATATCTGTGAAGCACTTTGAGAAGCCCTCCAGACACGAAAAGCACTGTATCAAACATACGGATTTATTAGATAAGCATTATAAACACAGAATAGGATTGGGAATTTATAAAACCCTAGTCTGGATGGATGAGTGCAGAGAGACTTACATAAAATCCTCTCAAAATAATCTATTTTTTCTCAGAAAGCTCTCCAAAGAAACAAATGCTCCTATAACGGTTATATAAAAAGGCTTCACAAACAGGACTGAGTAGAATGTAGGTCGGCTGCCAATGTTACAACTTGCAACTTCCAAAATGTTCAAATTACACTCTCAGCCTTGGAGTTTGCCCAAAGGTAGCGGGGGGGGGGGGGGGGGATGCTGACACTAGGATCTATTTGCAAAGCGTTTTTAGGTCAGCTGTAAGATATTTCAATTCTTCTGGATCTACCAGATTTCTCCATCTCTGTCACCCAACTCTTTATCTGCGCTCAGCAAACTCAGACCTGATAATGTGCTCCTGCTTTGCCTTCAGCAACCACTGTAACCTCTGGAACTCCCTCTCTCTAAACCGCCATCTCATCCCTCTCCATCAGTCTTTAAACCCTTCCTAAAAGCCTTCCTGTTCAGCTATGCTTGCATGCTACGTCCCTTGCTCAGGGTCTGACATTGTCCCTGTAAGCTCTTCGAGCTGATATATAAATGAAGGGCGTTATGCTATATAAATGCAAATTGTTGCTGTAATGCAGAAACAACTGATTCTGACATTTGGTGTAATCAGTCCTCAAGTTTATTCTCCAATCCCACTCTGCTTGCTTCCTCCATTCAACAAACTCGAGCCCCCCGCTCCACCATCGCCTATAACCTCCGGAACTCCCTCCCTCCGTCCTTTGAATAAAACATTTAATCTGTCTGTTTAGGTGGATGTTAAAGAGCCCATGTTCGAAGGGAGTTTCTCACGGTTTCTTGGTCAACAGACATCCTAGAAAAAAATTGGTCATTTACATCACGACGGTTTGTGGGACATTCGCCCACAAAATAAACAGTCAATCCACTTTACAGTATATTCAGTATATTCCGTGAAGCGATTTGAGACATCATGACGACATGATAAGACAGTATATTAAATGCAACAAACTGCATTATATAGCGCCTTTCCCATTGGGAATACATCCCAAAATGCAAGGATTATTATTACTATTAATATTCATTGCAGTGGGATGAACAACTCACCCTTCTAACACTTCTGCCTGGTATGGGATTTCAAGTTTTGAGTAGCTTTTCTCTTTTGCTTTCACAGTTATTTTCCCGGAAAACTGCAATGCTCTTTTTGCTTTTGAAGCTGGAATAAAATATCAATGTGTCAGAGTAATTCAAACAAATGATATTCCAACAAATATGTTTTCTCCCCCAAAACACAAGCCTTGAATGACCCAAAGAAGCGATTCATAAACACGGTTATAAAACTAGTGCAGACTTCAAGTTTTTAGGAAAGAAATGACAAGCAAAATATTCTGCGTAGCTTTCACGCAGCTCTGATTAAATTACCATTAAGCAAAAGTTAAGACTTTGATTTATTTTAGGTTGATATCTGTCATTCACTTCACGGCTGTTGGTGGGATATTACTGTGTGCACGATCGGCTAACACATACATTTTCCTACAAAATACACGTCACTACACTTTGCAGTAAATCCTATGAGAAGTTTGAGACATCTGCCTGATATGAAAGGTATCAAATGCAACGATTTTTTTTAAGTTTACGTACCATCAAATATAATACTTGCTACTTTGGTATATTTCGTTTCTGATGCTTTCAACGTAATTGGCTTAAAGTCTACTGTAACAGCTTCATTTGGTGGAGCAGGTTTAATACTCTGGAGAAAACGAAACCGAGACATTAGTTACAAAGCAAGAAAACACTCATAGAATGCCGGTTCTTTGAAATAACTATCCCATTAGCCCCACTCCCCCGCATTTTCCCCATAGCCCTGCAATTTTTTTCTTTTTAAGCATATATCCAATTCCCTCTGGAAAATTATTATTGAATCTGCTTCCACCACTCTTTCAAGCAGTGCCTTCCAGATCATAGCAACTCTCTGTGTAAACAAATTTATCCTGGTCTCTTCTCTGGTTCTTTTGCCAATTATTTTAAATCTGTGTCCTCTGGTTACCGACACACCAGCTAGTGAAAATAGTTTCTCTTTATTTACTCTATCAAAAGCCTTCATAATTTTGAATTTTATTACATCTTCCCTTAACCTTCTTTGCTCTTAGGAGAACAATCCCAGCTTCTCTAGTCTCTCCAAATAACTGACATCACCCAAAATCATGCATAATTTTATGACAAATATCCATTATAGTGATGGAAAGAAAGATCTTACTGTTATCGGTACATCTTTTGCTCCTGAATTTAATAAATGAAGGTTTAAGACTTTTGGAAGATCTGCAGAAAAATGACACGATTAAGTGTTTGCTTCTTCTTATGCATAGGTACAGTTAACACATCACTAGATCACAAAGGTGGTTTAGATGACGAGAATCCTTTGGTCCATTTGATCTCAGTCTCTGATTACCAGTCTCACAATATTCCCATTATTGGTTCAAGCTGCTTATTTAATTGAGCAGCAACAGCTTCAGACCTCAACCACCCTTTCTGATAACCCATTCAAACTGTCCACTACCATCTTGCAAAGAAACATCTCAGTCTGTCTGCCCCAATGTGAAGCAAACATGTTTAATCCACAGTTAAACTTCCTCTTTTAAAGATGTTTCATTGTCACCCATCATTGACCGTTCAGCACTATTTTCCTCATACACAGAAGGCAAAGAAGACTGAATTGTTAACTTCTGTGTAAATGTTACCATTTGCTTTAGGTGGTTCAGTGGCTACTTGGTCCTCTTTCAGTTCTGTTAGGTCTTTGCAGCCACAAAGTGAAGCCCACACCTGCTCACGGCACATGTAGATCCAAGCACAACAAGATTGGTTTACAATGGCCACTTTATGCTGAATCAGGAACCATGCATCTCTAGTTAGGATTAACATGGCACCTTCCAGCACAATTAAACTGAACTACCTTGCAGCAAGGAAGATAAAGCCCATCAATTTAGACACAACCACAACTACTAGGTGATTGAGTGCCAAACCCACTAGAAATTTGTATTTATTGCTTGTAGAAGAAATGAACGACTCCAGTTTAGGAAGGACAATTTCAGGGCAGACACTAGGAAGTATTTCTTTACCCAGAGGGTAATTAACGATGGAACAGGTTACCAAATAAGGGTGGTTGAGGCCAGGAACTGGACCTATTTAACAAAATAGTTTGTTGCTGCAATGATAGGGTGGGTATTATGGAACAATGAGATCAAATGGGCTGAAGGGCCTTCTTCATCCAAACCTCTCGTGATCTTGTGAGTGTTGAAGCAGATTCGGACCATCCTTCCATAGAATGGTAAATAAGCACGAGGAACAAATGACTAAAAGAACAAGACGTCCTGCGTCATCGATGGGAGGAGGTTTAGGAGGCTCTTGATCACAAGATTGATTTGGATGAAGAGAGGCTTCAGCTCATTCAATCTCATCCTTCCAGAATACCTGCCTTTGCCATTCCTCTCCTCCCATTACAGAATAAAACTGCTCTTTAAATGAGTCCAGTGCCCTGACTTCTTCTGGCGACCTGTTCCAGTTGTTAATTACCCTCTGACTGAACAGAAAAAAAACACCCGAGTCACACATACTGGCACCATCAGCAGGAAAACCCATCTCTCTCTTCCCTTTCTCCACATCCGATCCCTCAACCAGGCAATGGTAGGGAAGAGAAGTACTTGACATATGAAGAGTGCATAGTGTTCTCAACTTTGAATAAAACAAATGTACTTTTTAAAAATAAAACTGAGAAATCAAGCGTCTCACCTTGTGTTCGTAATGTACCAAAATCTAGCATTTCTATTGAGGAGTAAATTCCGGGAGCTGGAAGAGAAGTGAGAACATTTTTAATCCAAAAAAATCATATAATCGAATTAATAAAACTTGATGTAGCGCCTTATCACGTCGTCGAGACGTCTCAAAACGCTTCACAGAATTTATTGTCAAGTGGATTGACGTTGTATTTTTCTTTCAGGCGAAATGCGGCAGCCAACTGCGACAGCAATTAAAATTAAAATTCATTGAATTCTGCAATGAAGTACAAGGAAGCGTTTCATTCCAACTCACCTGTGGTAACCTCCACTTCAACAGGCAAAATAAGGAAGCCTTTGCTATCCGATGAGTTTGTTTTTATCCTAATGAAGGCTGTATGATTATCTGCTTCTCTCGAGGAAAAACTGGCTCGCATCACTGCTTTTGTTTCATAGGGTGGGATCTCCTGTTTAACAATAAAAAAAATACATCTTTTCACCTCAAATGTTCTTAGGTGTCAGCCTGGCTCAGTTGGTAGCACTCTCGCCTCTGAGTCAGAAGGTTGTGGGTTCAAAAGCCACTTATCGGGACTTTGAACTCCATCTCAGCTCCAATACAGTGCCACCCCTTTGATGAGGCCTTTTGCCTAGAAAACAGTCACTACACTTTAAACGCTTTGAGATATTCTCCTGACGTGAAAGATTATTTTTAGCAATGTAATGTCACCCAGAGATGCACAAAGAGTTTAGAAGGTCAAGGGGCGATTTGATTGAGGTTTCAAAAATAATAAGGGGATTCGATAGGGTAGCTTTTGAGAAACTATTTCCTCTGGTGGGGAATCCAAAACAAGGGGGCATAACCTTAAAATTAAGAGCTGGGGCATTTAGGAGTGAAATCAGGAAGCATGTTATCACGCAAAGGGAAATCTGGAACTTTCTCTCCCAAAACGCTGTGGATGCTGGATCCCTTCACATCTTTAAGACTGCAGTGGATCGTTTTTGCTAGGTCAGGATATCAAGGGATATGGGGGAAAAGGCAGGTAACTGGAGTTGAGGTACAGATCAGCCATGATCTAATAGAATGGTGGAACAGGCTCGAGGGGCTGAATGGCTTACTCCTGTTCGTATGACTCCACTCTAATATACTTTACTATTAATAATAATAATAAATAATAATCATCCTTACATTTAAAATAGCGCCTTTCACATTGGGAGGACGACTCGCAGAGCTTCACAGTATTCACTGTAAGTGTAGTGACTGTATATTTTGCAGGTGAACACAGCAGCCAACTGGCGCACAACAATGTCCCCTCAAACAATAAGGTGATTACGTCAATTATACAATTAATTAAACCAACAGTTGAGCTGGATGGAGACGCTCTGAGTTACAGAGCTCACTCTGACTCTATTGAAAGTGCATTTCTTCACCCAGTCACACCCCACCACACCCACACATTGACCCACCCCACATAGGCATTTTTGGGGGACAAAGAACACGACAAAGAAAATTACTTTGTACACAACCACAACTTGCATTTATAAAGCGTCCTTCACACGGGGTAGCATCCCGGAGTGCTTGACAGTGGCGGAGTCTGACCGCGAGCAAAACTCCTACACATAGCAATGACAGAAAACTGGTTTCTCTAAATGTAACAGGACACAATATATTTCATGCTCTTCTATCCCCTCCCTTAGGTCAGTGGATCGATACTTTCGGTTTGCCTGTGATACTCACAGCTGTGATACTCACCCATAATTTTCTCGGGCCCTCTGGTTGACCTGTTGGAAGTTCTAAGTGCAAGTCTCCACCACTGGAATACATTTCTACCACCTGTTAACATAAACGATGAACGTCGTCAATGAAAAAAGATATTTCCAAAGTGATTAAAGGTATAACAATGTGAGATTTCTTGCACAAGGAGACTGCTCGCTTTCTGGAGGGTTCAGATCAGTCAAACCAGGAATCTCCCTGATTGATGCCAAGTACGCCACATAAACTATGCTATGCATCTTTCCCGGGAGCTTCAATTATTGGATTTACATTTTGGAAACAAACATACACTTAAATTTCAATCGTCAATATTAATAACAATAATAATTATCCTTGCATTCATATAGCACCTTATCACGTCTTCGAGACGTCTCAAAGCGATTCGCAGAATATATTGTGAACTGAATTGAATGTATATTTTGTGGGCGAAACACGGCAGATTGAGTGACCAAATTATTATTTTTAAAAAAATGTTTTTTGAAGGGATTATTATTCCAGGAAAAGCGATCCGGGTTCCTATTAATGCTAGGTGAACAGAAGTGTGTGGAGTTAGGTAATTTGCCTAAAGTATTGCCCTGCCAAGGAATTGAACCAAGGGCCTCTCACTTGCAAGAGGAGTGCTCTTACCACTAAGCTACATGACTCCACAATTCTGCTATGACTGCCAGTAAATTACACAGCATTCAGCAAACGCCATGCAAATCACTTGCTTTGGGAAAATTTGCTCTCAAAATGACTAATTTGTTTAGCCAGCGCACTTTGCAATCACGCAAGTAATAATGAAAATTTACTGCTGGAAGCCATCTGCGGTTGCTTTGGGGAAGTTTGTGATAGCATTTTGAGTGAGAGGTCAGGTTGAATTGTAACCTCTTCAATTCCATGTGGGAAGCCACAAGAAACATTGCCTGTGTACTCTGACATCCCGCCTCTCCTTCTCACCAGCTCTTCAATGAATAAAGCCTTTACAAAGATTAAATCAATACCATTGCAGCAAATTAACTCTTCCAACATTTCAGGCACAGTTTTCACCTCAAGAGAAACCATAAAAGCAGAAATGTTTTATGGTCATCTTTCTTTAATCCTAGTTTTCAATATTTGCCATTAAAAATTCTCTTTGTAGATACATGGTTTGGAAGCAAAAACAAAAGGAGGGAACATTTGGAAACTTCACTAACAGGTTAATAAAGTTTGCAACTCAATAAATACATTTAATGTCACACCGCATCTACTTAGACCAGTCTTTGAAACGTACCTTTTTGACTGGGATTTCTGTCACCTTTCCCCTTTCCTCAACATAAACACGCAATCATCTGCTTTAACAAAACTTCAGTGATGGGATAAAAGAAAAAAAACAACTTACTTGTAATGGTTCACTGTGAGGATTATGTATATTTATTAAAGGTGAAAAACTGCTATTTACAGGAACCCTTGCCCCTATAAATGGGCGCAAGCGATAAGGGTTGGGTATACCAACACCAAACACCTATAAAAAACAAAAGGAGGGAAAATTAAATTCTGTTTTAATCTTATGTAAAGATCAAGCAACAAACATCAAACAAGAGTGGAAACAAACAAGTTTGCCTCCTGTAGTCACATATTATTTTGCCAAAAGATGAATAACCTGCATTTATAATAAGAGATTTATGTGCCGTTCACAGTAAACGAATCTCAAGGGATATGCCGGACTCGTTATTTGTGTTGATGACAACTGAATTGTTACGCCACAATGCAACAATACAACCTGAGGAATTCGAGATCTTAAGAGACAGAGTGGTGTTCACTGAACAAGAAATGTGAGGGGAGTAACTTCACCTGGATCTATGTTTATAGAAGAAGAATAATAATAATCCTTGCATTATATAGTGCCTTATCACGTCTTTGAGACGTCTCAAAGCGCTTCACAAAATATACTATAAAGTGGATTGACTGTATATTTTGTGGGCGAAATTTACTTTATGTAGCATTTCAGAGCGTCCAAAATTAACAAATTCCTAACCATCATTTTTAATTAATCTTGAAGCTATTTTTTCTGTAAGTTCTTTTAAGAGCTAATACATAGCAAGGTGAAGAGATTTATGAGGGGAATTACAGGGGGTGGGGCGTGGAGACTGAAACCTTGGGTCTATCTATGCAAGTAGAATAAAGGGAGTGAGTGGGTGCCATGTTAACAGCAAGCCAGTCAGAAAGTCAGAGAGTGCGGACTGACATGTACAGCTGGAGAAGATTACACAGATTGGGTAGGAAGGAAGATAAACACTTCAGAACACTGTGTAGTAACATTACAGATCAAAATCTCGCCTTTCGCTGGCATTGCTGCCCAAATTACTATTCAGTTCAAGTGAGTTATCGGCTACAATTTGAAGGAATTTTCTTGGCTGAGGCACTGGGGAATTAGAAAGCGAGGCGGTTAGCACATGCTACCCATTAGCTGGATCAGGAAGTGATCACTGCTGCTGCTGCTTGTGTAGCTCAAATACATTTCATTTTGGAAGCAAATCTGTACAGGGAACGATTTGGAGGAGGAAGGAGGAATAAAAGGCGAGGGCAAAATGCAAGGAGCACATGTGAAATGTCTACCTGGTCTCCTCCCACGGGACTGAGAAAGTTTCATACATCAATGAGTAGCACTGAGATAACTATAGGATGGATTATTTTGCTTTAATAAATGGATGCAGTGTCTGTCATTTCAGAGAGTGGGTGTAAGCAGGCTGGAAAGCTTATTTCATCACTAATAATTGGATTCCAATCATCTGTAGAGCTTCTTAAAAAAAAAATCCATTGGCCCCTCAATTAACTATGGTCGTCTTCATGATGCAGAGATACGAATTTAACCCTCAGGAAGCAGACTACTGAGAATGACACAGAGGAGAGACTCGATTCCAATATTCCATATTGCCAGACACATCACCTTGAAGCCAACATAGTCTCATAGGGCCCCTGTTTAGCTCGCCACGCCCCAAACAAGAAGAAGCACCACTTGGCTGATAGCAGTTCTATATTGAAGCAAACCACAAATAAACAGCCATTTGAATTGTCCAGCACAGCGTAGCACACAGAGGTGTGACAATATTTGCGGTTTTAACGTATAAAAATTTGACCGAGGCTCCTTACCTGGTAAGTAAATACCCCATGAAGTGATGTATTAATAAATAAAGTATTTTCTACATTTCCCACTACCCTTGCGAGAAAAACTACATCAAAAGACGTGTTTCCTCCAGGTGGAATTATCTGGACAACAAAAGGAAAAAAAAACACTGATTATTTTACAGAAACGTAATACACCAATGGTTTATTTTTGATACATATGTCTATAAAAAGATGTACTACAAATCAGATAACTATTATTCTGGTAGCCTAAACATAGCAATGGTTTTAATAATCTGTCACTTCACTCGAACAATTAACATGAAATAGGAGTTGGGTTAGGAAACCAAAACCTGTCAATGGGAAGCAGGCAGATTGAATAAAGCTGCCTCAGGATTGTCAGTCAGGTTATACTGACCGCACAGCCAAGGCACTACTGCACACACGCAAGCACCCGTACAACATACGGTGCAACAACAACAACTTGCATTTATACAGCGCCCCTCACACAGGGCAGCGTCCCAGAGAGCTTGGCAGTGGTGGAGCACGACACCGAGCCATGGGGAGGGGGAGGTGACTCTAAGCACGGTCAACGAGGAAGGTCTTCAGGTGTGACCTGAACATTGGGAAGGAAGGGGCAAGACGGAGGGGTAGAGTAAGAGTGTGGCAGAATTTCGGGGCGTAGTGGCTGAAAGCGCGGCCACCGATGGTGGAGTGGAGGGCATGAGGGACATGCAGAAGGCCGAAGCCAGGTCGAGCAGAGGAAGCGGGTTGTGGGTTGCGGCGGGGGTAAGTAGCTACTCTCTCCCACCTGCAGGAGTGCTCGCTCTGTTACTCTGAGGCAAACCAGGCTGGACAACAGATATGAACTATTGGCATATCGTGACTTCAATAAAAATGAATGGTTTTTAGGGCATTTTTGCAGCTCCAACAGTAACAGTCAGTAGTCTGGTTCGGACGCTCTTAAGCACGGCAATGGTTCTACACGTGTCAGACACCCGTCTGACCAGAAAAAGAAAACACCTTTGGCGGTCATTTGCGATGTAATGGTTCTTTGCTTGAATCGAATTCGTCAAAATGTAGCATGGAAATATCAATGTAACGTAATAATAATCCTTGCATTTCATATTGGGCCTTATCACATCGTTGAGACTTCTCAAAGTTCATGGCAGGATATATTGTACAGTGAATTGACTCTGTATTTTGTCGGCGAAATGTGGCAGCTAATTGCACACAGCAGTGTCCCACAAACAGTCGTGGTATTGAGTGACCAAATAAAAAAAATCATTTCAGGGATTATTACCCCCAGAAAACAATCTGCCAATCACTTACTGCTAGGTAAACAGAGGTGAGTGGAGTAAGAAAACTTGCCTAAGATTTCACCCTGCCGGGAATCGAACCCAGATCCTCTCGCTTAACCCAGGTCAAGCGCTTTGAGACGCCGTCTGGCGTGAAGGGCGCTATATAAATGCAAGTTGTTGTTGTTAACATAAGCATTAATCCAACATCTGTTACCTGGTCTGAGATCGAAGAGTGTTGAGTTTCACACAGAAACGAGCTGGGAATGGGCGGTGGATCTGGTAGATATTTTTTTAACTTAAACACATCCTACTCATTGCATAAATGGCAGGCACTTGTAGGCTAATGGTAAATCATTGGTGCGGGTTTTGGAGCAGGGTTTTTTCTATGCGATTCTTACTAAACCTGGTCATATCATAGCTGAGCAGGGAAAAACTGGGTTAGTATGCCTCAGGCTACTCCAGCAGACTGCTTGCTGTGGGATGCTCCTAGGCAACAATCCTCGTGTTTCTTTACATAACATCACTGTATGCGACAGTATTTACTTGTGCAGTGGTTTGAGATGTTTCAATGTGAAATGGAGTGGAGTCCTGTAGCTCAGTGGTTAGAGCACTCGCTTTGTAAGTGAGAGACCTGAGTTCAATTCCAGGCAGAGGGCGAAACCTTGGGCAAGTTTCCTTACTCCAGATAGAGCCTAATAATAATCCCTCCAAAACCAAAACCAATAATAAATTGGTCATTTTCAATCCACGACTGTTTGTGGGACATTGCTGTGCGCAATTGGCTGCCGCGTTTGCCCACAAATATACGGTCAATTCACTTTACAGCATATTCTATGAAGCGCTTTGAGACGTCGAGAAGACGTGAAAAGCGTTATATCAAATGCAAGGATTATTATTATTATTATTATTATTATTGTGGAGCTATGCAAATGCAGGTTTTTTTCACTCAAGAGTTTGGGTTTGGGAACAGGTCAATCAACTGCCTTGGTGGCAGCAACTAAATTAAAGTGCTGAAGTACTGTGTTGAAATGATATTTCAGCAATGTCTTTGTACTGCTTGTTGTGATGCACTAGTTTTCGAAATCTCAATCTATAATAGTCCCTATGTTATTTCACATCGGGAGGATATCTCAAAGCGCTTCATTGGATATGATAATAATGATAATAATAATCCTTGCATTCGATAAGCCTTATCACATCGTCAAGATGTCTCAAAGCACTACACAGGATATACTGCGAAGTAGATTGACTGTGTACCTTGTAGATGAACCCAGCAGACATTTGCACAGAGTAATGTCACACAAACAGCCATAATTATTTATTATTTTATTATTATTATGATGTGAGGAACCAATTTTATCTGAGGATTATTCGCCAGGACACCGGGAAAACCTCCTTTCTCTTTTTGAGGGGATCATAATGTTCATCTGAGTTAGTTTTAATGTCTCATCTGAAGGACGTCACCTCCATCACTGCATTTGGGTGTCATCTTAGATTATGAGTTCCGAGTCACGATATGGAGCTCGAACGCACAACTTTCTGTCTCAGAGGCAAGAGTGCTACCAAGTGAGCCAGGCTGATATGTAATCTGCTTTAATGGGCAATCAACAAATTGAAGTAATAAACATTTACTGCCTCGAGGGGCATCCAAAGCCTCCAAAACACTCAAACCAACTGAGGGCTATTTTTCAAAACAATTTCAGTGCAAGTTCATTGCAACAGCTAATTATTGAATGCAACGATTATTATAAACAACGAATTGTTCATGTAAAACTCACAATTTTCCAATCAACAATACCCCTAGAGGGTTCACCCATTCATTTACATAACTTATGTACGCAAATATTGAATTTCTTTTGGAGAATCATACAATATACCCCTCACATTCAACTTTCCTCCCCCACCCCCCCCACTCCCCTCAGCTTTCCTTATGGTCCCAACAGCAGTTTCACCATCAAGTATTACAGGTAGGTATTTATCAAATGTACTCTGCTCACACACCACATACAGCTCATGTCTTAACTGGTAGGGTTCCAATCTTCTCCCATTTAGAACCGCAGAGCCATACAAATTTACAGCACAGAAAAAGGCTAATCGGCCTATTGTGCCTGTGCTGGCTCCCTCAAGAGGAGTCCTTTCAGTCCCACTTCTCTGCCCTTTCCACACAGCTGACTCTTTTTAAGGTGTTTGTCTAGTTCACTCTTGAAGACCAATGTGGACTTTGCCTTAGCTACTGCACCCAGCAGAGCAATTCATATCCTAATTACTCTCTACATGAAAAATATTCTCGTACCCGCGCTCACTAATTATCTTAAATTGATGTCCTCTGGATACTGACTCACTGACTAGTGGAAATAATTTCTCCCTGCTGAATCTATCAAAACCTTTCACAATTTTAAGACCTCAATCAGGTCACCTTAACCTTCTTTGTTCCAATGGATAAAAAAGTTTCAAGTTTCTCCAGTCTCTGCTCAGAGGTCAAATCACTTATCCCCGGTATCATCCCAGTAATCTCCTCTGCTTCCTCTCTATCGCCTTGACGTCTTTCCTAAAGTGGGAGTGACCAAAACTGGACACAATATTCTTACTGTGGTCTCACTAACGATTTATATAAATCTAGCATGACTTCTTTGCTTTCATATTCTACATCCCTATTTATAAAACTTAAGATTCCATTAGCTTTTTAGCAGCTTTGTCCCTCCCACCTTTAAGGATTTATATACTTTAACCCCCAAGTCCCTTTGCTCTTCCACTCCTTTTAATATTTTACCGCCCAACATGTTTCCTAAGATCACTCAGAAGTACAAAAGAGTTACCTCAGTTACAAGTCTAAAGAGTAAGGCAGTCTCAAAGCAACTACTATACTAACCACTTGGAGTGAAGGAACAACAAAGGCTATAATTAATGAGCACGATGTTGGCAGGTAAATCCTGGATTTCCATTGTATAGTTAGGGTTAAATAAAACCAGACTGCTCACAGTTAAATATTGTACCATGGTGTGCCTGGATACGATAACATCCTATTCTAGCCACATTCCAAGTAACTGTAAGGGATCTGTGCTGAACACAACAAGTTGTGGTACAATTATTTGTTACTGGTATAAGCAACTTCTTCAATCCACCCGACTGCTTTTCACTTCAATAGATAGGTTGAACTGGAAGATCCTTTTTCTCTCGAGGCAGCAAAGCAAATAATAATCACAAATAATCCTTGCATCTGATATAACGCCCTATTGAGTCTTTGAGACATCTCAAAACACTTCACAGAATATACTGTAAATTGGAGTGATTGTGTAATTTGTGGCCGAAACGCGACAGCCAATTGCATACAGCAGTGTCCACAAACAGTCATGGATTGAGTGACCAAATTATTATTATTATTTTGACAGGATCATTACCTCTGGAAAGCAATCTGCCAGTTGACTAACAACCGGGTTCCTACTTACTGTTAGGCAAACAGAGACGTGTGGAGTAAGAAAACGTCTTTTTAAGGTATCCTTCAAAGACTCCTCGACTGATCCAAATTAAACAGTCAGATTTAGGAGCAAAATAATCAACGCCAAATAAATGGTAATAGAAGTGCGCTACATCAAATGCAAGGATTATTATTATTAAATGCCTTTATCACAGGAACATACATGACCCTTTGCTCTTATTATACATTCCAGACACGGAACCTGTTTTAATACGGTAAGGAGTTCAAGCCATCTTCCATCTAGTGGCAAGGATGAGTGAGCAAGCTACCAGCAATCATTTCAACAAAGAATGCAAAAATAAAAAAGACACTTACCCTATTTTGAAAAAATGATGCGTGAAAATGTGATGTTGTTGCTGATATTGATACTAAAATTATTGTTTCTTCTGTGCTGGGGTTGTGCAAGTATACTTTTTCCATTTTTGGCATCCCCACTGGCCTGCGGAAAGATAACATTATTTGTAATTAATAATAATCCTTGCATTTGATACTGCACCTTATCACATCTTTGAGACGTCTCAAAGCACTTCACAGAATATACTGTAAAGTGAATTGACTGTATATTTTGTGGGCGAAACGCGGCAGCCAATTGCGTACAGCAGTGTCCCACAAACAGCCGTGGATGGAAGTCACCAATTTATTATTATTGTTTTAAGGAATTATTAACACCGGAAAAGCGATCCGCCAATCGACTAACAAATGGATGCCTACTTACTGCTGGGTAAACAGAGGCATGCAGAGTAAGGAAACTTGCCTAACATTTCATCCTAGCCGGGAATCAAACCCAGGTCTTCTCGCTTGCAAGGTGAGTGCTCTAACCACTAAACTACAGGACTCCATTCATTATTTGTAATTACATAGCCATGGTTCTTTTTGGCCCCATTTTATAACCATCGGGTGTAACAGGGTGATAAAGTGTGCAGTTACTCCCAGTTAATACGATCAAGATTTTTTTTTAAAATATAAAAAAAACGTATTTGCTTCTGCTATACTGCAGATAATTTCTTATTGGCTTCTCGCTGGCAGCGTCTCGGAGCTCCTAAATAATGCACAAGCAATACACCTGCAATGTAGCCACGGATATTTAGCGCTGAAGGTATTAGTAAGTAGAAAACAGAATTCTTTCGCGAAGAATTCTTCCACATTAGTTTTCAAAATGAACTTTGAACAAACATGTGTGCAACTCTTTTAGCATCTTAGTGCTGTTACAGGACGTAATCTGATTTACAACAGCAATCATTCCTATTCAGACTCGGAAGGCAATCCTGAACAATGGTAAATGAGTCACATTTTGAAACCACACACTTTTCAATCCAAGCGGTAAAACGTAGAAACACAACACGCCTTTTGCACCAACAACAAAAGATGTTTCTCACCATCCAAATCAGGCAGCCAATACAGGACATGAATCAAAAAGAGAGGGGAATAACAATCACCTGCCCTGCTTAAAAAGTTATGTGTGTACGTTTGCTTTTCCAAGCGTAACTTTAAATATCTCCGTTTCAAAAATCAACACCACTTTGAAAATATGTTGATGAATTAATTGTTATTTAAATCTTTAATAGTAACATTTCATCTTCTGCTATATCCTTTAAAAGCCGTAGCTCCCATCTTGAGCACAAATGAGATGGTTATGCACAACTCGATCTATCTACTCTAACAAACGTGGGGTAAATGTTATTTTGACTGATGCCAGGGCAGGTTGAGTTTAACTTTACCAGCTTATTGCAGGGAGGACGAGGCAGACGTAACACAGCATATTTTGGAGCTTGGGAGGAACAAAAGAGAAAAGTTCAAACGAGCAACGTAAATAGCAATACAACCGTGGAAACCAAGAAACACTGGTAGAGAGAGAGAGATTTATTTTAGGAAATAATATTGTGGGGTACAGTATATAGTTTAGGACATGACATGTGCATGTGACTGCCAGGATAGTGGAAGGCGAACTGGATGGACCTTGGGATTCTTTCGTCTAGCAATTCTTATGTTCATAAGAGAGAGAGAGAAACAGAGAGGAAAAAAGAGAGCAAGAGAGCGAGAGACGGAGGCTAGAGATTTTCTACCTATTGCTTCCTATGCAATATTTAGGACTGTAGCAGCAATACAGGAGGTAGACCTTAAGCACACTGGCAATATAAACGTTTTAACTCAGATTAATTTCTAAGGTTTTGAGTAATACAGTAAATATTACACCGTGCCCGCAAATACCAGCAAAGTGGACTTTTGTTTCAAAAGGACAGAACTTTGACTGCATTGCATTTTGCAGTATTCAACATCTTAAACAAAATTAGGAAGAAAAAGGATCTTTGATCCTTGAAAAGTCATTGTCGTGAATTTCAGTCCTTAAAACTCCCCATTTGCTAAATCGGAATGCAAGTACTCAGGCTCCGAGAGCAGAATGTGAACGAATGGAGACAGATCAAGGCATTGTGGAGATAGCTCTTGAAGATAAGTGCTCATCAATGCCGACCTAAAAATATTCTTAGCAAAACACACAATAACCATGCTATTGGCCACATGACAAGTAAACTCCAAGGCTGAAATGTGCAAGGCACCCCACTCAATTGTAAAATGAATGATAACTGTGTTCAAGTGCACAATATGCAGGAAGAAATAAGACCCCTTTACCTGGGCTATCCCAGCTACTTCAGTAAACTTATTAGGGCAAAGACAAAATCCTTTTAATTGACGATTTTGTTACAGGCTTCCAGAATACCTCTCAACAAGAAGAGGAATGTAACCATGTATGAATCAATATCATAACTGCAATCAAAAAATTATTCGCTCTCTTTTTAAGATGCTAGATCAGTATCACCATTTTGCCCACACCGTAATATGTAGTGAGACATTTGCATTTTTCTCCATTATTGCCATCCAGCAGCATCTGGAAGAACATGGTCCCAGGACAAAATACAATTCACCTGCTATCTGCTCATAAATATCTCTAAACATTCAAGGGGAAACCCGCCCGCCAATACTGGAACATTTGTTGGTGAGTTCCAAGTGATCATAAATAAGCTCACACAAAAAAAATGCATTCATGTAACCTTACTAAATCTGCACATAATACTACAATTCTTACATTTGATTCAGCGCCTCTCACATCAGGAGCACAGGATTTACTGTAAAGTGCATCAACTGTTAGACAATTTGTGCAGTCAAACAAACTGCCACGAAGTGAACGACACAATTTTACAGTCTGTTCTGTGAAGCGCTTTGAGACGTCTCGAAGACGTAATGAGGCGCTATATCAAATGCAAGGATTATTATTAGCTTTGGGGGGATTGCTGGACAGAACACCAGGAGAAACTCCCCCTCAATTTTACAATAGTCCCATGGGATCTCTAACATCACCTGAACAGGTAGACAGGGTCCTTGGTTTAACTTCTGTTAATGCAGCGTATGTCTCAGTACTCCTTTAGTGTCAGTCTAGACAGAGCTCACAGCTTGCTACTCACATCATTTTGTGTGCTCTGCGAAGTGGAAGTTGGCCATTTTTTGTAGTATGGGAATCTGCTGGTCTGAAGTCAACAGGGCATTCGCTGTATTTAATTCACTTTACAGTACGTTCTGTGAATCACTTTGTGACGTCTCAGCAGTGCAATAAGGCACAATATCAAATGCAATGATTATTATTATAAGCAAACCAACATCTTAAGGGGGTACCTTATAATTAACAAATTCCAAAAAAAAGGTATATCGCAAATAAGATTAAGCTGGGTGTTTCGGTGATTGTCCTCAGATACTTTAACTGCTTCACAAGTGAGCTCGTAATGTTTGCAGCTCTGTTAATGGCGGCATAAGTACAGTTCCTAATGCTTACAGCTACTTGAACAGCTGCACAAGTACTGGAAATGAACACAACTTTCCTGACACACTTGGCATGACAACAATGCATGGTCACATTCCACGCTTTAACCTCATCGTTAGCAAGTGCAAGTGTTCATTAATGAAAAATCCTACGCTTAAATCAGTTTGATAATTTAGCATGCGACACAATTCAAAATGTTTCGGTGGCTGTACAAGGAACAGGTGCTGAAATCGGTTTGCTTGGATCTAAGCTGCGAGTATCAGATTGCAGAGAGAGAGAGAGACCTTTGCAGCAGGTGGTTGTACTTCCAAGAAAGTTTAAGATGACCAAAACAGGTTTCGAACACAGTACAGAAGGAGTCTTGCAGCTCAGTGGTTACAGCGCTCGCCTCGCAAGCGAGAGGACCTGGGTTTGGTTCTCACACTCTCTCACAGCTTTACTGACCAATCCTGAGATGTGCAGTGAGAGCAAGTTGCCCTATGGACTTGGGGGAGATTTGGTTGCATTAGGAAAGAGGGTAAAAGATACACAATATTACTGTACTTACATATGATATAGCACCTTTGACATCTCAAAACACTTCACAGAATATACTTTACAGTGGTGACTGTATTTTGCAGGCAAATGAAGCAGCCAATTTGCACAAAGCCATGTTGTGAATGAACAATATTTATTTATGGGATTGTTGGCCTCCTGGCCACTGAGAGAAAACTTCCTTCTGTTTCTGAAAGTGCTATGGGATCTTTAACGTCCACCTGAACAGGCAGATGGGGCCTGGGTTTATTGTCTCATCTAACTGACAGCACCTTCACCAATGTAACCTACAATCTACCAGCTCAGAGACGAGAATGCTAGCAAGTGAGCCAGGCTGACACACAGGTAGATCAACTTCAACAATGTTGGTGAAAAGAGTATGGTCAGGAATCTTACAGAGAATGGGAAATAATGGCTCTCACATTCTGAAGCTCTCACCTTCTTTCCTTTGCTGAATTTTCTTAATCTCAACAATGCGACGGTGAATCAGGGTTCAATATCCACAGAAAAGGGAATCAATGGAAACACTTCTAAGAAAAAGTTGCACAACGATTTGAAATGATGCTCGTTCTACTGTCCCGTAGAATAGTGGTTAGTTAGAGCACTCACCTCTCAAGCGAGAGCACCCGGGTTTAATTCCCGGCAGGGCGAAACCTTAGGCAGGTTTCCTTAGTCCACCCGAATGAACCCATTATTAGTCGATTGCCTCATACTCAACAACAACAATAACTCGGATTTGTATAGCGCCCTCCACGCCGGACGGCATCCCAGCCCGCTTTACAGTAACGGATCCCGGGGCCGAGCCAGGGTGAGGTGGGGGGAAGGTGACCAAAGGCGCAGTCGAAGAGAAAGGTCTTCAGCAGAGACCTGAAAATAGAAAGAGAGGGAGCGAGGCGAAGGGAGTGAGGAAGGGAATTCCAGAGCCTCGGGGCATAGTGGCTAAAAGGCACAGCCGCCGAGGGTGGAGCGGAGGACTCGGGGGATGAGGAGAAGGCCAGACCCGTAAATACTCCCGTAAATCCCCCTGGTACACCAGCCATCTCCGTTCCCTCAAGGCATAAGTGCGAGCTGCCGAACGCGCCTGGACCAAATCT